CCATTCGAAACCCCAGGTATCGAACAAGTCCGCTAACACGTTATAATCAAGTCTACACCCTCTCCACCTTCTCCTCCGTCCTCCTCGTCACCGTCACGGTGACGCGCAAGATGTTCACCATGATCCTCTCCGTCGTCGCCTTCGGCCACCGCCTCACGCACATGCAGTGGCTCGGCGTCGGCCTCGTCTTTGGCGGCATCGGCGTCGAGGCCGCCATCGCCAGGCAGGAGAAGATGGCCAAGGAGAAGAAGAAGCAGGGCTGAGCGTAGAGAAAGCAGCGTAGATGCACAATACCAGAAACATGCGTTTATATGTATATACACCGACATACACGTAGATCGATTTCGAGAGACAGGGAGGATCAGGCAGGCGGTGGACAGCAATGTTGTGGAGGACACAGGCGCAAAATCTAGAGAATCGTTAAAATTGGGCACATGGGCGTGAAGATTACTGGGACAAATTGGATGGCGAATATAGCCCGGGCTTGATTAAATATAAAGCATTTAGATCACCTTGTTGCCTGTTCATGCATGATCCATTACAACGTTTCGGTCTCATACTGTAATCGAGTTGCTCTACGCTGAAATAAAACACAAGGAACATAAGCAAGCACTTGACATCACTTTGCGATTGGACAAACAGGGGAATTAAGAACAGGTCAACCAATCTGGTTGACCGGATTCTATTGTATTTTAACTCATCTACTTCTGATTCATCGTCAGGGTATATATATATATTCCCAACCCGGTCCAATTCCCTGGAACCTCGGGTGTTAAACGCGACGAGCCCTCGAAACAAAACCAGTTTCTCCATATTGCAAAGTCCCTCCCATACACTCCTTTTTTGAACCAAAGAAACAATATATATAAGACAAATAAAACAACAAAATAAAAGTGTCAGAAGGTTGGGGCATAATGCAAACCCCTCGGTAAGCTCCCCCAGGGAGTCCAAATGATGAAGAAGAATAAAAGGTGGAAAAATATATAAGAGTTGATAGAAATCGACAAAGTAAATAAATGAAATAAATGTACCGGTTTGGTGTTGTGACAGTCGAAATTATACATTTCTAATAGGAAATGTCCATGTTGCTTGTATATGATGATCCCAATAGGCTTTCATGATGTTGAAACAAGTCGTAATGCTTAAAAAAGAAGATCAAGAGTGAGTGTAATGGCTTTAAGTAAGCACGGTATAATAATAGGTAAAGCGATCATCTTGTTGATGGATGCCTTGCAAGAAAGATGAGCCAAGCCAGAATCAGTTCAACGCCCGGTGATGTCTCCGCCATTCCAGATTCATTCATGGCAGAGAACAGCAATTGCTAAAAGGACGTCCCAATATGGAACGCTCAAAACGCTTATCGTAATCCCAATGATGGTTGCTAGAGTCATAAAGCATTGCGTATATATAAAACAAATGCAATAATCGAAAAGAACGCATGCTAGACTATCATAAGATGTCGTCAATAGATCGAATTATGGGCGCCTCTCCCCTGGTGGGGGGGCTTCGAGGATCCGCAACCTGAGCCGGTCGTCCAAATGAGGGAAACGAGTCGCGATTGAAGGCGCTCGCTCGGGGCGAGAATAGATCACCCGTGGGTGACAACGTCGTCTGTGCAAACTGGAAGCCAGCAACAGATGGGTAATTGTGGAGAGGATTGTTTGTCATCAACTCGGCTCGAGGAGACATTACCAGGTCGTCATCCTCGCTAGGGTATGCCGGGTGCAGCTCAGGAGCAGGAGCCGTGGGAAACGCAGGCTCCGGGGCCTCCATAATCGTGCTTGGAGGTGGGGGTGGTGGCGCCCTCGATGGAGGATCAAATCGGAAGCCGAATCCAGCTGGTGGCCCAAAGCCAGGCGTAGGGGGGATTAGACCGGCCACTTCGTCGATCTTTCGGGAAAAGTTGGCCACCGGTGGTGGCTTCTGCTCGATCTTGGGTCGTTGAGGGAGCTCAGCAACTTGTGGCAAAGGTGGAACCATGTGCTTCGCTTCAACCTCTTGTTGCCATGACATGTTTGGCGGAGCCGAAGCTGGACCAGGCGAAATGGCCTGAGATCCTGGGGTTGAGTTTCCTCGGCGTCTGCTGTCAGGATGAGCAGATTGCACCTGGTCGCAGTCTTGTTCTTCTCCAGGCAATGGTGCCGTCCTTGGCTCTTTGGGTGAGATCTCAATGTTGTCGGCGGAGAGTGTAAGCCTGTGCTTGGTCGGGCTACGGCCAGTTCGAGGGCCTCGGAAGCTGCAAGGAGGTGCAAGTCGCCGTTTGGAGATGTCCTTTTGGAAGTCCTGGAGGCAGTACATGAGCTTCATGTTAGGGCTAATCCACTGGCTCTTGAGCTGTGCTGCATGGTATGCATCATTGACACTGAGCTCTGGGTTGCGGTAGAGACCGTATGCGATGATCAGACTTGCAGAACGGCTAGCGCCCTGCTGGCAGTGAATAAGGACCTTCTTGCCCTCCCTGGTCCGCTTGTCTATCGTCTCACAGAGCTCCATAAGGTCGGGAGCAATATCGGTATTGTGATCCCAAGGCATATGAATATATTCGGGGGTGTTGAAAGGGTTCGCCTTTGGGGTTGTAGGCGTGTCTGAGGGGAAGTACTCAAAGGCTGTAGCAAAGCTCGCGTCGGTCATTGCTGTGTTGGGGACTGGACTCAGGTCCGAGCCAACTGGGCTGACCATTCTCCGCTTAGCAGGATCCATATCAAATGGGTTGCGAACTTCTTTGGCGACGTTAATGACCACGTCAAACCGAGCAGCTTCGTCTGCGGTAGGCTCCAGGTACAAATACACATTGTCCTCGTAGATGGCAATGGGGCCGTCGGGGTAGCCTGGGGTTTTCTGATCCTCGTTGTTCTCCTTCTCCTGGAATGGATCCAAGCCCATTCGGCTGGCGAGCTGCGTTCGGATGGGAGAATCCTCTTCTTCGATTGTCGTCTCCGGAGCGACGACAATGCTGCCTGGTTTTGAAGGACGAAGAACCTCGGACAGTCCCGATTCGTTCCTCTCCAACATATTAGGAAGTCTCATACCCCCAACCGGACCAAATGCTGCTGATTTCATACTCGAGAACATATGGGGTGAGGAAGTAGAGTGCTTCAAGGCCCGTCGTTGCAAGATCGGGGGCATCCCAGGCGAGGGCGGAACTTCCATGGCCGGTCTATGTAAATCCTGGCTACTCGTCCTCAAACTGAGCATACTAGGTTTGCGCTTCATGGCGGGAATTTGGGGCTTGATAAAAGCCGATGGAGACGAGGGCTCCGAAACCAGAGCGGTCGTCGTGCGGATAGTGCCAGGTGGCTGAATTGAAAGGCCTTTCATGTTCCTAGGTCGTCTGGGCGCAGGGGAAGTCATAGGACGTTCCAGTGTGCTGGGATCGGTTGTGGGCATGGTCAAGGTAGGCCTCAAGAAGTTGCTGTTGAATGAGGGAGGCGGGAAGTCGGCCGAAGCAAAGCTCGGTGGGGGGAAGTTGTTGAGAGGCATGACGCTCACAGGTGAATCGGGGGACGATGATGGTGAAGGGTCGGAAAGTGGCGATGAGTCAGTCGTCGACAAGGTCGTCGTTGGAGAGGACTCGGTCGACTCTGACATCTGCGTCGACGTGCTGTCGTGATGCTTATGGCTAGGATCATGCGCAGCAATCGCGTGAGTAAGCTCTGAGGGGTGGCTGTTCAAAGTCGGCGCTGTCTTTGCGTCTGAACCAACCAGCCTGGGATCAACCACTGTCACCGTATCCCGATCTGCCATTGTCTCCTCATCCAGACCAAATACTGACATAAACGACGGTATTTGATCCTCATACACCCTTCGTGCCGCTGCTGATGGCATTGTTCTTTTTTTTATCTTGCTCTGTACTCTCCCCAACCTCAATCTCCCCCAAGGGTTTCGTATTCCTCCACGACAGCGGCAAACGATGAAGCCGCTTCGAGCTAGACTGTTGAGGTGTTAGGGGTCCTGGTGTTGGAGGCGACGAGACGGCACCGAAGGTCGTTCTTAGTGGCCGGTCTTGGACGTCGCTCTTCGTGAATGCGCGGTTGCCTTGTAAGTTGGTTTTGGTGTTGTGGACAGCGCTGCTGAATCCTCTTCACCAATGTTAAAGGGAGTGTGTAGGGCGAGACGGTTGCCCAGGGTGTTAGTCGAAGCAGTGGCGTGCTAGTTCGCAGAGTTGGAACAAATGAAATGCAAAGAGCGTTGGAAGAAAAGAATATAAGAATATAAGAATATAAGAATATAAGAATATAAGAATGCCAACGGCTGAGGGATGGGGTCGGTTATCGGCTCGGTCGACTGCAACAGGGAGAGAATCTGGCAGGAAGGTTGTTGGAAGGGGAGGAAGAAGGAATTGGCGACTGGACAAGTTGAGGTTAGAGGTATGTGCCGGCAGGTACTAGTAATAGGCAAGCCACCAGGCAGGCTGTGGGTAATGCGAAACAGTAGCGCTTGACGCACCTTGAGGCGGTAAATCCAGCAAGCGGGCGGCTGCAGGAGTGGTGTTTTGGATTGGAAGCGGCACGATCAATATCAGGCTCGGGTCATGGTCCTCGGCGTCGCAAGCGGCTAAGGAAAAGAATATATTGGAATCGCCTGGTAGGATTTGGGGAAAGGAAGAAGTGCTGGAGAATAGCCGGGTGTAAAAGAAGATGGTTGATCTGGCGCCGGTTGGTAAGTGAGGTGGGCGTGGGCCCTGCTCGAGTGGTGGAGGGGGCAACCGAAGGCCCGTGGGTGGGAGGAGCACGACCTTGCCTGCTTACTGGGTACTTGCAGAACTATTATTACCTACACTTGCCTTCTTGAAAGAGCTGCACGCAGCATATGCGCTACGATGGAGGCCGGCTGCACAGCGAAGTGAAGGGTCAAGGGGTGTAGAATGAGGGGGTGTGCACAGGGGGGGCCCCAGCGGCCGAGGACCCAGGAAAGGGAGCAGGGAAAGGGGATTTGCTGACGGGGGGGAGGCCTAGCCCGTCTTCAGCGCTTGGCTTGCTTGGCTGTTGGCGATGGCAAACCAGGCCAATCACTCGCTCCGCCGATCCTTCAACCGGGCATCTGGCTGGTTTGCCTCGCTCGCGGCCAGCAATCATCCCATGCTGTGCTGCGCTGCGGGAGCATGAGCACGTGAGTGCTTCCTCTGCAACGTAGACGAGCATCTACCCAGCTGGGAGGAGGGAGTGCGTGAGCAAGAGACAGTCACACACACGTATGTACATCCAGCAAGAGTCAGGGTGCAGCCGCTACTCGCCAGCCCTGGCCTTGCGTAGGAGAGCCTTAAGCCAGCCCCCCGCCCTAGCGACACGCAGCTGCTTCTCAGCGCTTCCTGGGACGTGCTAAGGCACCTGCGGCGGACCCAGCCCACTGCTTTTTTTTTTCCCAGCGCTGTGAGTGGCCGGCCAGGTCCTATATTTAGACACATGCAGACATCCATGCAGGCAGCTGGCGCCTGCATCCTTCCAATCACAGCCTGTCTTGCCGTTTCTGGCTCGAGATCCCAAATATAAACCTACCCGAAGCGCCGTACTGTGCGCCGTGCACCGCCGACCAACCGTCATTTCTGTGTTCATCACCCCAGGCCTAGCCCGCCACTGCTATTCCTTTTCCAAATGGCATCGTGGCCAGCGAACTGTAAAATTAAAATGAATGATTTCCTTTTACCGCCCGCCCAAGGATGGCAGGCGGCCTGTGAAGTGAATGTTGATAATATCGATCGAAATCTTTTTTTGAACCTGCTGTAGATTCGGCCCCTCAATTTCCGTTTTCGATGGCCGGCCGGGCTGTGCCTTTTGACTGCGGCAACCTGTCTTTGACGACACAGCTCGAGAAAGGGTGGTGTGCGCCAGAGGGGTGACAGGGTGAGAGGGGGCGGGCCAACCATCACTTCAACCAGGATAGGATAGACGAACAGTGCCTCGATAAACTCCCCAGTATTCAGCTACCAACAGATAGTACATATGTATGTGCGTACTGATTAGCCTCCGGGCAGAAACAATAGCGGCCACCATACACGATGCGACACAATACCCACTGATGCTGGCCCGTACTGTACTGCACTGTCGGTTCGCCATACTGTAGATCCTCTGGTATTCGTACGGAGTACATCGTTCCCATCCACGGTGCCACCTATGTTACCCTTCAGGAGGCGTGCAGCACGTCATTGTGGTAGAGCGGAGGGACGGGAGGCCCAGCAAATGCAGCAAATGGCGAGTCACGCGGGAGCAGCCAGAGCGAGATCTAGACGGGGGCTGGGGCAGATGTTCCATTCCAGAACCGACACTGCAGTCCCCTCACCCACACACCAACCACACGCACACGCTCGTACAGGTTATTTCGTTTCCGATGTGGCTGAGATCTCATAGGCGGCACAGTTCGTGTTGGCAGGGGGTTATTGAAAACCAATTTAGCACCCGCACAGGATGAGACACACACGATGGCAATCTTTACACGTAACTGCGGACAAATGCCATCATGTCGAAAAGAGGGTATTCAGAGATCTTCGGAGGCAATTCCGATCCTCTGTCCCATCCTCAAAATGGGAAATAGCAAAAAACGTACCCCTGTGTTTTAAGGATCGGAAAAGTCTGTCCTGACGCCTTGGCTTGGAGCAACCCCCCTCTGAAGGAAGTTCCTTGCGCATCTTTGCCCATGGGAGAGAACTCCGAGATGCAGGCTAAATCTCCCACAATAGCAGCGATTTATTTTGGCCCAGGCCCTCAACTGGGTACAGGTCCAGGTCGGAACCGATGATTTGCGCCACATGGTGGCGGGAGCACCAGGTTCGCAGTGCGTGGCGCCCTTGCCTTTTTGGGCACAACCAATTAAGAAACCAATCCTAGCAGCTATCTCACTGCCCCCGGCTATTGGCATCGACTACGACGAGATGTCAGGGATTGATTGCGGGCATAGGTCCGAAGTTCTGCTGTCCAAAATAAGGTTGCTGAAGGAAATGCCAATTCCCAAAGGATGCTGAGCCTGAAGCCCTCATTAGAGATTTGACAGGCTCGTCATCCCAGCTCTGAACCGTGCCGCACGTCCAAGCTCTTCGCGACCAGAGTAACTAAAGCCAAAACACAGGTCCCCTGATGCCTGGCCTCTCCTTTTTTTGGCCGTGGTTCGTTCTTCTTACTTCTTTGGGGGGTTCTCCAGCCCTTTGCGGCCAGATTGCCCTCGCAAACGTGGAAGGCACTGACCGGTATCGCCTTGTGCTGTCCTTGTGCCAGTGGCAGTAGGGATAACCCCTTCTGTGAAAGCTTCAGGTGAGCTACGGTAAGGGCTTGCCCTATAAATTGCTACGGACCTTCGGCGGTGACGAGAGGATGGCATTATTTTTAGCCAGTTGGACTGAGCGTTGCCATGTGCCGTCTGCCATGTGCAATAACAGACGAAACTCAAACGAAGGCTTCCCGCCATGCCACCTGTGGCACATGGGACGGGGCAAACCGACGCGTAGCCAGGCAACCAACCAGGGCCGTCGCATGAAGAAGAGACGACATCAATGACGAAGCTGCCTTCACGCAAGCACCAGTGGCTGAGGGAGTTTGTCTGTCATCGGAAAGCGAGATAGCTCCTCTTCCTGACATGATCAACAGACGGTGGTGGATCCAAGGCCTCAAGTAAATCGACACTACGAGCGAGTGGGTGTGGCCATCCTCGGTTCTTCAACCACACCGGATGGAAGAGATCGCAATCCCATCACCCTCCTCCATACATTCCTACCCATCAATTCGGATGCGCATCTCAAATAGGTGCCGATGTGCACAAAATTGAGCGGGAAGCGAGAAGGACCGTTTGGGTTGGAGGACAGGGCCACAACCCCAGCTGTCGGGCATTCGTTTCAGGATCTCCTACCACTGCAACCTCAACCCACTTCGCGAAGCTCCCAGGTAATAAGCGCACAGGCAGATCCCTGTTTGCATCGCAGACAATCTGTGACATGAAGGCAGCAAGCACCCATCACATGGCCAAAATTGCTCCAAGTGGACCGCTGCCAGGGTGACAGATCATTTCGTGCGTCCTTTTCCTCCCGTCGGTGTGCTGGGTTCGGTTCAGACCGATTGATAGCACACCGGGTTTCACGGCTTGAAGATCGGAAGATGCAAACCGACGGCCTCTCTGTCTGGTGCCACCCAGCAAGAGATTGTTCAATCAATATGAGAGCACCAGTTTTGGCCCGTTCCCAATGAAAAAAATTGTGCCCAGGCCTCTATTCTCGCAATGGTTTACTACCCTCACGTTTCAAGACAAGTCTGTAGTTGTAAGCATACGCCGCTGGTCAATGTCGAATGACAAAAGGCATGTCATGAATAATATCTGACATGAGTCATCTTCTGTGACTATTCAATAATGATGGAATTACTAAGTCTTTGCTGTATTTCCTCTAGCAGACTGTAGATACTGCTCCCATTGCCGAGATGCTGTAGATTTTATAGAGGTAAGGAGGACCTTTCGAGAGTTCAAACGTACAAACAAAAAGTCCAAAGATTTATCAGCGCGGTATAGGCACATAGAAAATATCGCTCTTCTTCTCTCTATCCAGTTCCACTGTAACCTTGAGCTGGAATAATGCTGGGCCTCTAATGCCTCTGAAGCCCAGTCTCGGACGCCTTTAACACCAGTCTGCTATGACAGTGTTCGACACTATTCCAAGAACCATCAAATCTGAATACGTTTACCGAATAATAGGTATTATGTAGTCGTTTCGTAATGTTTTCCATGCTCTTCTAAGTGATGCCCTAACCCACCTCTCATGAACAACCTCAACCTTCCACTGAAAGCTCTTAGACTAATGGCTGCTTCTTTATACACTTTTCCTTCCATAACTTGAGACCATCAGCCCATCGTCCTGGGTACCTTTCGTATGTTCTTTTCGTCTCAGCCAATCGTCTAACACAGCCAGGTCCTCTGGCCAGTCGCCAGACAGGATTCCAGATGAAAAGCCGGAAGCTTGACCCCAGAACATTTCTAACTATGCCTCAAATTAACTCTTAGTCCAAATTTAACTTGAGAGATATATAGTCCGTGGCTTGCGACATTTTAAGCTCTGCCTTCGGCAGAACCAGTTGGTCCAACTTTGCCTGATGATATTGGCTTTGCAAATGCCATATTATCTTCCCATTTTTGCAGCGTTTCCATCAATTGGGAGTATATCCGGGTTAAAGTTGCATCGCGTGTATGTCACGAACAATTATAACAGGATCGTTAGAAAAGGAGACAATCTTATATTGCATCCACCATGTGGGCAGAGCAAGAAGGTATCTCTCCTCCCCTTCCAGGCCATTCTGAAGTGGCTCTTTCTAACGCATTTCTTATACTAACAATTCAATTATCTACTCATAATGAACCTCAAACTTTATCAGTGGTCACAAGAATTTCTCTTATCTTCGTTTGCTTTTCTCTTTTCTGAGAACCAATACCACCACCATTACAATTACAATTACAATCACAATCACAATCACAACCAGAACCAAAACCAGAACCAGAACCACAATCACGGTCACAATAATAGTCATAAAGCAGCCATCTAGTAATGATATTTCAGTCACATTAACCCAGTGATCTCATCGAACAGGTTCAGCTCCGCAGCCCCATCGAACAAATAAAATCGAACGAGTAACCCAGGACCATCACCTGATCCCGCCAGACGAACCTGTGACATGTACCAAGAAGTTCCCTCTCGCGACAGTTGGATGAAACATGTCTTCTCCGACATATTTACCAAACCTAAGCGTCCATCCAGTTCGATTGAGGCCCCCACGGGAGAAGAGGAAGAAGAGGGACCAGGTCGATCCGACGGATCGCCCTCCCGATGAGCACTCATTTACATTTCTACCGTAGAGAATGAGAATAAACCAATCATAATAACAGCATTGTATCCATAGTAGATGTGATAAATTTATTGCAGCGGCAACTGCTATCCTGTCCGTATTCTATGTTCTAACATAATCTACTGTAGCGAAATAAGTCGAATTACCGGATTAACAAGCTTCAAATACTCGATTGCATCGCCGTAAAGCTCAACGTTTGCGCCAAAGCCCAGAATATCCTTGCTCATAACGAATAAGCCACGAGAATGGTACTTGAACGCAACGGCTTCCCCTGCTTTTATCACATCAAGCTCGAGGAACAGCTCCCATGTCACTTTCCCAGTTACGCCAACACCTCCCCGGTACTGCAAAGTTGCTTCCAATCCCTTTCTTCCATTACAAAGCTCAATTGTTCCAAGTTTCGGCATCCTCGCCGCTGCTGCTGCGGCCGACGTAAGCTTACTGCTTGCTTAAGCTATGCTTGCGACAGTCAGAAACAAATTTGAAGTAAGGCGAAACGGTATTAGTTTAGGCCACCTCCAGTCACCATGAAAGGCAATAAAACAATGATTGGCATCTACTATGAAGGATGCTGAGAGGGATTTGAGCTTGACACTGGCGATGCCCACCGCTCGAATCACGGCGGGAGCCCGGGTTCAAATGACCTCAGCATGGCTATGATATGATGGATAGTTTTGATTTATATCTTCAAATACCACAAGCTTATCCAGTTCCTTAGGTGCGAGTAGCTCGAAAAGTGATTGATAAAAGCAGCAGGTGGCCGTATATACCCAGAGAATGAACCGAACAACAACAAGAGAATACTAACATCTGTCTGTGGCACACTGCATGGCAAATTCCATTTCTCTCCAAGGTTCAACCCGGATTTATTTCAGCCCTTGGATCGCTTAAGCACTTGCTCGAGTGCAGCTAGTTCCCATCGTCGCCGAGTTTACTAATGAAGAAGCACGACTATTACTACAGGGGTTATCAGCAGCTGCTTCCACCATTTACAATCTTCTTCATCTGTATCAGATGGTGCATCGGCCATGATCTGATCATGAAACTTTTCAAGAGCTGACTTTGTTGGGAAAGCCCCTTGGCTAGCAGAATTTCACCCATGCCGCTTGTCATCAACCTTGCGCAGTATTGTTGCCTTCTCTGAAGATATTGGTCCAGGTCATCAGTCGTGATGTCGGCCTCAAGGTTAGATAGTGAAACCAATGCTCCATTCAATGAGCGAATAAATTCCATTACCAAGTAATAGGTCGGACTCTGTCTCTCTTGTATGAAGAGCAAATAACAGAGCTTCGAGCACTGTGGCAATGAAATTGTTATCCATCCTGCTCATATCTACGAGTGGCATTTCATTATTCTTGCACTTCGAGCAGTCGTATTCCTTCATCTCTATGCAGAGGTACAAATAGCGCACGAGGTGCTGGTAGGTACTGACACTGCCGTCACACCGATTTCGATAGCTCTTTCGGTTAATGTCTTGGAGGCATCATGGTGTCAACTTGTTCCGGGCAAAAGCTATGTGATTCGATAATACTCTGCCATTCTCGCGGCACTGTAGCAGCATTCGACAGGCGGCAGCCATTCCACATCAAGGTCTTGAGGAACAGAAAGCGGATCTCTGTGGGGGATGAACTCCAAGCTGCCATTCTGCGTGAAGAGTTGGGGCGAGACATGCTACATCTATGGCTCCGATACGAGCTTTTTCTTGAGACATAGTACCTAAATAGTATATAGATGCAGAAGCTAGATCTTGGTAAGCTAGACTCTTGCCCTTCGTGATATATTTCCACTGCAGTCCGACTAATCAAGTCATCCAACTTATTGTTGTTGGTACGTAACAGTGATTCAGCATGAACTATGTAGATAGTGTCGAGTTTAGAGCCCTGCAACCTTTCTACGTCCTATGGCTAAAATACCTAAAAAAAAAACAAAACAAAAAAAACGCATGTTGGTTCTCGGCACTGAAAGACACAAATAGGATATCTGTTTGGCGTCATTATCAAAATTTGCCATCAGCTTGGTCAAACGGGTCGTTTTCTAGGGTAGGTGGTAAAGGAGACGTGTAGTCTGAACCCAGGAAGCGGGATTTGCTTGACGTGACCGGCACACGGTAGTACGTTCTGGGAAACGGGTCGTTGGAGACAAGCGCATGCAAGTGGATACCTGCTGGCTTAACCCTCCTAGTGCCAACTGCCAGTTCCATTCCCACAGTCGAATGTGCTGCATATCTCCCTGGCTCTGCTCTGTGCATCGACATGTATGAACGCCAAGACGGAGGACGACCAAAGACGCTCGCGGCTGCGTCCAGGAGCAGTTTGGCCCAGCAATGATCCCATTCTCTGGGGCCACCCTTTGCAATCATATGCTGCAGGGGGCCAGGTCAGCGACCAGGAGGAATGCAGCACGAGCGTCTCCATCTGGCGACTCGACTAGCACTCAGTTCCCCTCCAGATAAAGCTCGTTTGGGAAGGGCCCCCATTATCGGCTGTTGTTAGCACCCTACCCACGACTCATTCCTCCCCTCCCATGCGCGCAAGCCTGGGGGGGCCGAGCCAGCGCCGTTTGATATCATGTAGCTAACGGATTTATAAGTTAGTGCGCGGGTGGGCCGCCATGTCATGTCTGTCCTTCCTTGATCGTACAAAACAAATGGCTGGGGGCGCTTGTCGGGATGCAATCACCAAATCAAAGCCGGCGATCTGCTGCACGCATGCATCCATGGCCCAGTGGCCAGAGCACTGCGTTCCTGTTGTCTAAAGTCGCCGTAACGTGCATGCCTCCCCTGTATCCCATCCCGTGCAACAACTGGGTCGCTCTCCCTTAGCCAATGTACGCCTGCCCCTGGAGTCTGGATTGGATGCCAGAGACGACGGGAGGATTGGCCCTGACCTGAGCCCTTAAGTGCTGCGACGCTGGAGGAGGCATTCAACCGTCACTCTTTCTTTCCTCTGCCCTCTCGCTCGCTCTCATTCCCACTCTCACCTCTTCCCCTCTCTCCCTTTTTCCCCTCCCTCACTTCCACGCTCTTTAGCCCGTCGTTTTGCTTCCTCCACGCTCGTTTTGGGTCAGACTTACACGGCCTGTGTGCCAATTGGCTGATCCCCTCTTTTCGATCACTTGGACGTGTGCGGGTGCTTGCCCCGTTCATGCATACGGGCAGGTCAGCAGGAACTACGCCAGCGCAGTCACTCCATCAATTGGGCATCCATCGATTTTTTATATTTTTACTATAGGGTTTCACCGGTACCGAATGCTTGGCCTGGCCTTTTGCCTAATAACCGCATCAGCCCTTTGTCGCGAGGAAAACCCACCTGGATATTATTATAGCCGGGCCTTGGACACTCTATAAACCATTCTGATTTCAGACACCACACACGAGAGAGGAACTGACTGAGGTGGACGGCACAGGCGCACGCAAGTACCCAATCCCACAGGTAGATGGAGGTGCTGGGATGCAAGCCTGGACAAAAACAGAACCGAACATGGCCACAGGTTTCACCACAGCGGGCCTCGCCGCCGAAAGCATCGCCCTCAGCGCCGGCGCCAGCACCGCCGCCAGCAGCAACACAGGCGCTACCGTCGCTGCCACCAACTACGCCAACATTCCAACCGCCAGCATCAGTGAGGTCCTGGACCAGGCGCTGCCCATCAAAAATCGCTGGTCTGACAGCAGTAGCAAACAAGGCAAGACACCACCGGAAAGAAATGAAAACGGCTGCCCGCTCGATCCTCCCGACCTAGACCGGGTAACATCTGTCTCACAGCGCCGGGCACTATCGATGTCGCCTAGCCTGGAAGCGTCCCACCTCGACCACGCAGCGACCCTCGTCCCTGTCACCACCAACGAGACCCAACCAAACGGCAATCAAGTCGCTGCAACCAGGTCACAGCAGCGTCAAGACCTGCAAAGCGCTCGCCTCCAGCGCCGGCCGTCAGATCCATCATCATCATCCCGACGATTCGAGCCAGTGTCACCACCCTCCCGCTACAGCGAAATAACATCACCGTACAGCGACTCGCAGCCACTATCACCTTCCCGAGACGGCGGCAGACCTCAGCCATCGCCAGCTTATGTCTCATCCTACCTGAGCCGTCGCAAATCCTCGAGCCGAAGTTCATTCGGGGCTGCAATTCCTTACAGTCCTCAGACGCACGATACCCAGGACGCGCAGTATGCTGAAAACTCGCCAGGATTCCTAACATCGCCAGAGGAGGCCCTGTCACCAAAACAACTGCCCTCAGGTCAGCGAGAATTACTCCTCCCGAAATCCCTATCCCAACAAACGAGCCAACCCGAGGAGCGCCGCGTTTCTTCACACCACCCGCCAGTGTCGTACAAGCCACCGATTAACGCGACCGCGCAACAACCAGGCAACGCGCCGCCTGTGCGCGTCCCCCCTATTCGAGCCTTCCGCTCATCTGGCTCTCGCAAGAGTTTGACTCTCGACATGAACTACAAAGACTACAAAGACTACAAAGGCCAGTTGTATGAGTCAGGTGACGAGTCGAATGAATCCAGCCACGACTACACGCTTCGAGCGCTAGAAGGTCGATCAGCCCAACCCCAAGAGAGGGTAGAGATAACGCCGCCTATGTCTGCCAAGCATGATACGTCTGACGCAGATGACGGTGGGGATGTTTTCCTTAAAATTGCTCGCGAGGAATCGATGCGGAGGTCCTCGAATCGACGCGTGACGGAAGACATACAAAGCCCAGCGGTAAGTCTCAAACTCTAAAATCTCCCCTCACCTCGCCCCCCCCCGCTTCCTGTCTCGGCCATCTACATCTGGCCTGAACTTCCCATGTGCCTGGAAGCAGCCTGCCAGTTCCTGCAAGTACACTTTGACCAACCTGATTATACGAGGACACTGCCTATTTTCTGCCTGCCTGCATGCGCATATCAATGCGGAAGTCTCGTCCGATCTCGCATGGTTACTTCTTTGTCTACTTCATTGGTCCTATATAACTTCACCCGCCGTTGTCTTTTTACCTTTGGGCCGCCTCGACGCAGGCGATCTTGTGTGGCAAAACCGGTCTCAAGATGTTGGGCTCGCCATTCGATATGGACTTGCTAACGCTGCAACAACAGTCACGAGTGTTCCGCTCGCACAGGCGTCCTCTCTCTACCACAGTGGCCGCATACCAACCCGACTCGCCACCACGCATTACCCGACGGTTGTCGGACCAGGAGCAGTCGTCCTCGCGGCGCATGGATGATGCAGTCAGTGAAATTGCTCGAACCCTAACTCAGAGGTCCATGAGCCGGGACAAGGCAATGTCTGCCCACCCGGCGGCCATGGATGATGCCGTCAGTGATTTTGCTCGAACCTTGACCCAGAGGTCCATGAGCCGGGACAAGGCAATGTCTGCTCACCCTCTGGATGATGCAGTCACTGATATTGCCCGAAACCTAACCCAGAGGTCCATGAGCCGGGACAAAGCAATGTCTGCACACCCCCTCGAAGACTCATATCACCGTTCGAGACACAGCGGCAGCGCTCTGCGACCTTCCCCGCTTACCCCTCGATCAACCACTCTCCCTGATTCTCTCTCGGACAACCCTATTCACACACGCCGGCGATCATCCATTACGGATCAAAACACCACACCTCCCACACGATCCACAACATATCGCTCATCTGGCAGTACTGTCCAGGTACATGGGAAGACATACCATTCCTCACCACTGGTTCGCTCCTTCGATCTCGTTGCCAATCGCAACGCAGAGCCAGCACAGGCTGCAGAGGGTACTGAGTCAACCGCGTCCACCACAGCCCCGTCGACAGTTTGGGACGAACTAGACGATCTTAAGTCCCGGATGCGTCGCCTAGAACTCACCGGCAAACTTCCATCCACATCAGGAGCAGCGGTTTCTAGACTAACGGACGAACGACCTCCCACCGCGACCACAACCGTTACAACGGTATCCTCATCACCCAAACGGATCGTTGCTGCGACGCAAGCTAACGACGCTGCGAGCGCGGTAGCAACTGCCCAGCATGAGTCGTTTCCTGTTCTTCACTCTGCATTGGCGAAGTCAAAGCCGTTTCTGAATCCCGAAATTTATCGAGCCCTTGAAACGGCCGCAACCGAAGCCATGTCCCTATCTTCGATGATGGGAACCTCTGGGCAGCCGGGGCCCATCTCAAGCGGAGCCAGTGGTATCGGAACGGGAAGCAACATTACAGACCGCCAACTTCGTCGCAAGGCAGATAGTGTGTGTCGAAGCCTGACAGAACTATGCGTTGCACTTGGGGAAGACGTAGCCCATTCCCGCCCACCGCAGGTGTCACATTCACACAAGTCGTCTCTCAGCAAACCCCAAGTCCAACAAGCTCCCCAAGTCCCTCAGGAGGAAGGTCCAAGAACCCCAACCATTAATAAGAGTTTTAATACGATGACGTCCCTGTCGTCCCAGAAGCGTCCCAGCATGGTAGCTGAGGGCTCTGCGTCAAAACCATCAAGCACTGTGACAAGCCCTAGCCGTGCGCTATCCAAGTTTGAGGAGAGGCGCAATACATTGCTGAATGCGAATACTTTGCCGAGCCCTCGGGCTACTGGCTCTGGCCCTCCCACGCCGCAGGACGCCAATGCAAACCGAAGGTCGTCTCTTATGGTGGCTAGGTCACGCCGTGCCCTTACCGAGGAACCGGAAGAAGTAACCGGGAGAAGGTCCTCTCTCCTGTTGAGAAGTAGGCGTGGTGCGACTGAGGAGCCCGAGGAGGGCCGTCAGACAGATGGCCGTCAGACATCTCTCTTATATCGAACTCGCCGTGGTACAGCAGGAGAAGGTGATGATGAAGTGAGATTTACCACGCCGTCTCGAGCTTACACTGAGGTCAATTCCTCAAGAGGTCCTGGCCGAGAGTACACAGAGGTCGCAACCTCATCTAGGCTCCCAACCAGAGATTTCAACTCACAAAGCCAGCTCTCACCACAAGATGCCTCACACACCTCTGCTCTACCGCGCCGCCGATTCATGTCTGGGACTACTGGCATCAGCCGGCTGGCTACACCAGCAACTCCAAATACGACAACGCTCCCCACGCGTAAATACGTAGAACGATCGACCCATGAGAGAAGGGATTCCGTTGGAGCTGAGAGAACCGAGAGGAGCCAGAAACGCTACTCGCTGGGGTCAAACACAATTCTTACCAGTGGAGTCAGCCTCGGCTCAAGAAGACAGAATCGTGACAGCACGATACCCAATATCACAACGACTACAGCAGCCGGGGGTTATCGATGAAGCCCCGAATAACGAAAGATGAAGAGCCTGGAAAACGTCATGACTGTACAACATGTTTTGTTTTCTCGTAATACCGGCGTTGATTTTATTTTTGTCTGGCTTTAGTCCCATTTCTTCCTTGTCGTTTTTTCTTCATGAGAGCGACCATGGCTTTTGCTCAAATCGGTATGGACATGAAATGGCGTTTGCTTCGTTCTACCACCGTAGATAGGCGAAGGCGTTGAGTTGGCGCACACAGCATATGCAGCTCTAGTCATATATTATCCTAAAACCGTGGAGCGCAATGTGAGCGAGCTTGTTGGGGAACAACAATGGCTCTTGTATATGTACTCATCGATAGCTGAATAGGAAGACTAGTGTATTTATTTAATTTGGACTACAAAATAATCGGATTTATTTTTCATTTCATTTGCTTGGCTATCGTGAAATATGTTTCCAGTTCCAAAAAAAATTGGCTCTTTGAGTGGCTCATGCTGAGTCACGCCGCTTGTGTCACCCACCAAACTTGAGCCACACTTCAAGCTTCTTTCGACGCCCAACATATAAAGCAGGACCAGGTCGCCGTGGAACGAAGATAACAATCCACTGTGAACCTGTATTTCTGGAATTTACGCCTCTCATCTGCCCCTCTCTCTGCCGGCCTTCCCTTGGCCACATCTTACACATCGAACTGTAAATCTTCATTGAGCCAGCAACTATTTCCACGGCAGTGAAACAATGGGCGACAACGACACACACCATGACCTGGAGGGGAGAGCCCATAACAGGTCAGGCGGCAGAAGGGGCGGCGGGGGCCGTCGAGGTCGAGGCGGAGGCGGAGGCGGGATGAGTCGAGAAGTCCAGATCTCGAAGGCGCTCTCCAGGCTGCTCAGGCACCAGGCGGAGAATGCTGGCATCACGTTGGACGGGGAGGGTTATGCTCCTCTTGATCGGGTGGTGAGTTGCTCTGCACCATTGGGAATTTGTTTATGCGAATTCAGCAGAGGGGTTTTTCATTTTCATGGCGTGGGGGAGAAGACCTCTGTCTTATTTTATTTCTATTCAGTTTTCTAAACTTGTGCTAACTGCCTCCAACAGCTCGCCTGGGGACCCCTCCGCAGCCTGAAAGTCTCGTTCGAGGACGTCCAGTCGGCCGTGTCGGACAACGAGAAGCAGCGGTTCGCGCTCAAGCCGAACCCGGCGACGAACCCGGGGCTGAGCGCGGACAGCAAGACGCCGTCGGACTACCTCATCCGGGCGAACCAGGGCCACTCGATCAAGGTCGAGTCGTCGGGCCTGCTGGTCCCCATCACCGCGGGCGAGGACGGCGCCAAGGAAGGGGAAGGGGGCAACCTACCTCCCAAGGTGGTGCACGGGACGTACTTTGCGTTCTGGCCGGCCATCGTGGAGGCCGGGGGGCTAAAGGTGATGGGGCGGAACCACGTGCACTGCTCCGAGGGGACGCCGGAGGACGGGGTGGTGAGCGGGATGAGGAGGGACGCGGAGCTGATGGTCGAGATTGACCTGGAGAGGAGCATGAGGGAGGGCGGGTTGAGGTGGTGGAGGAGCGAGAATGGGGTGATTCTGACGGAGGGGGATGAGAGCGGGCTGGTGAGCTCGAAGTTTTTCAAGAAGGTCACCTCGCGGACGGAGGATGTGGGCGTGCTCTGGGAGGATGGTGAGTGGGTGGCGGATCTGCCTGCGGGACTGAAGGTGAGAGTTCCTCACGGGAAGAGACCGGGTGGTGGAAGGGGCGGAAGGGGAGGAAGAGGGGGGAGTAGAAACGCATAGTGGTGATAATATTAAGCTGGGGATCACTTGGAGTTGTTGTGGAACGTTTTGTAACGAAAGATAGGAACTGGGACTTGAAGAAAGCTATCCCATCTGGCTGATATAGGTAACAAAGAAAGGAGTACGTGACGGTCGTTAAACTTATAATAATCGCAGGAAAGAAAATACAAAAAAGATCGGCTGCAACCAGTAACCAACTCTCAACTTGCTAATGCAATCCTCTGCCATGTAGTAAATCCAAGGTCTCCTCCCTCTCCTTGTTTTCCTTTTCCAGCCACGCAAGTAAAAGCTCGTTCAGCTTCTTCTTCGCTGCCAAATGATTTGGCATGTTCTCGACGGAACCAACGTCGACACCTTTGTAACCAGGCTTCAAGCGCAATCTCCCACGGAAGAGTTGGGTCGAGCCATTCCACTCGATCTTATACTCCGGATGCTCCAGATTGAGACGCCCGGTCAGCCAAAGGATACGCTTCTCATTTTCTTTGTCCTTTTCGCTTCGCGAAGAGGGAGAGGATGGCGGGCCCGCATTCTCATATGTAAACGCAGGAGTAGAGTCACAAGCGTCTTCAACCTTGACCCTCTTCAACCCCGCGTGGGATGAGGCTCTCATTTCCTGGGCTTCTGGGACAGGCGAAGCCGCCCCGGACAGGTTGCCCATGGACGACGACCTTGACAAAGGCGGACTTGGGCCTCCTGCGCTACTCTCGTTGTAACTAGAGGAAGCGGACGTACCACGTACAGCCGAAAGAGCCTGTTTGGCAGCAAACTGCCTTGCTTTCTATAGAGTCGTTGAATGAGCAACGGTGCACAGCTGAACCAAAGAACCAATCTCAGTCGTCGTCACATACCTTCTTGTTCGGGAAGCAGGGCTTATTGTTGTGAGAGTAGCCGTGGCCAGTACGAGGAAACTTCCCGTGGCCTTGGACTGTGCAGACAGATCGCCACAATATGCTGTTGGAGGTACCCTCTGGTCCTGGTTGAGCTACTTCCTCATCTTGCCAGTGGAGATGTATCGGTAGCTGTTTGGCCTGTAACGCGCCTGTTGGTTGGTGTCAGTAGATCAGCTCCAAAGAAAGGAGAAGACTTGGTTGTTTTCGGGGCCCGGTTTTAGTGTGCGACATACAGTTCAGCAGGCTCAGGTAGTTCTCGTTGCCAATCTCTGGCTCCGAGACTGCGGAGACGAGTTCGTTGATGGCTGCCAACTGCCTTGGGTTCAGCTTGACTGCCTGGTCAGTCTTCTTCTCCCAGGCTTCTTGCTGGTCGATCCAACGACGCAGCTGATCCCAGGGAGCTGCGGGAGTGCGGGCCATGATGACGAGTTACCTGGATGAGAGGATGAGGGACAAAATTTTAAGTAGAGGGTGGTGGAAGTAAGATTAAAGCACGTCAATGATTTGCGGGAATGGCTGTATGAGTAAAGTAAAGGGCTTTGAGTTTCTTGTATGAGAGAACTGTGGGGTAAAGGCCGTAGGAGGAAGCTACGTTACTGGGCCTTGAATATTCTGAATGAACTCAAAAATGAGATGCTGAGAGACAGGGAAAAAAAGATGCGCTCTGGTCCGGATGAACCAAGCATTCTTATACTTGGCCGTCCGAGGGGTCGAGGTCCAGTTGGCGGCGTAGAAGGAGAGAGAGAGGGGAGAGAAGATCGGGTAAGGCCTGTCCTTGCGCTGCGCTTGGGCGCCACCCGGAGTGGCCTCCAAGGCGTTCTTCCAGCCTGCATCGTCCGCATATCAATATGCAATTTTATGTTGGCCTCCCGCAGCTTCTAGACTAGAAGACTGCGATCTACACTTGGCAATCCTCCCCAAAATTGCAATTCGGAATTTATTCTAAACAGGCATTCCGGCCAGTTGCGTGGGGAAAATAGGCTGGTCGCAACACACCTCATTGTGAGCGTCTTGTCTGTCATGCTGTTAAGGTTAATTATACATCGCTGAGCACCGCTGGCTTCCTACAAGACATTGAACACTTCTAAATGTGCAGCCCTTGATGATTTCCAACTCTCGATGGCTAGGCCGATTGAGCCAAAAGCTTACCTGCAGATTGGGTACTAATGAAAGTGATAAGCACATGTACACTTGCAATTACTGCACTTTCAAGAAATGACATCTTCATGCTTAGTATTGTTGACTAGTCAATGTGTGATTCCGTTTTCTGTTAGGGAGCGTACCATTGCATGACTGGGCCAACACAAGAAGACCTATGAGATCCCTGGTGAGTATATTCGGGACGCCCGCGAGCACTGAGGCCGCTCCAATAAGAGACGGACTTTCTCTGAAGTTATCATATTTACTTGGTATATATGGCGCCATCTGCATCTTAGGCATCCTCGAAGAACCCCTCACCGTCATCCTCATCGCCATTGGCGGGTGTTGCAAGCTCGCGCATGAGCCGTCTCCGTTCTCGCCTGTTCATGGCTGGTGGATTAGCACCCTTCGCTTGTGACGACGAAGACTTGTGGCTGGCTGGCTGCTTTCCTGGGGCTTCGGTCGGCGTCTTGGTTTTGTCCTTGGCCGCCGCGCCGCGATTAGGTCGTGGAGCAGGCTTCTTTTGCTTTTGCGTGTCATCACCAGACCTCCTTTCCCTCAATCTCCTCAGCGCATCAGGACCTTCTTCCAAGGCTGCCTCGACGGCTTTCCACATGGGAGGCCGTTCGGTATGCAGCAAGGAGCTTGCAGAGTTGACCCCGCCCTCGTCGCCTTCTTCGGTCTCATCTGCATCATCTTTGCCGGATTTGTTGGGCTTTGCATACAGACTAATGTAGACTTCGGCGTGAGGGTGGTTGACCGCGTACGCCTCATCAACCTCAGCAACGTGCAGCTCGTGCCGCAGCTTCTCCAGTTCCTCTTTGTCCTCGCACTTGTCAATCCTTTTTCGGACCTGCTTCGCTAATCGTATTGCCTTTTTCCGTTCTAGACACCGAAAGAGAAAAAAAGGTCAGTTGGGCTATATGTGGTTGGGCTCTGTAGACATGTCCCTACCGAAAAACCGAACCATGTGATACTTTGAGATCATTGCACTCCGTTTCTTTTGGAACGTCTTGTCCTCCACTGTCGCCTTGTGAGATTCCAGCTCTCTCTCGAGTTCATTTTTGACATTGGCAGGAAGGTCGTGGTTCTTCTGGAACAGGCGCTCGATTGTCCGGGCTCGTTTCTTTGCGTACTCGATGCTTCCCTCCTTTGCCCTGTGTTTTGATTTGCCGTTCGGTCGCTGCTTCTTGACCGATGGGCCCGATCGCCCACCAGAATGCGAGCCGATCTGTGCATTCTCGTCGTCCAGCTCTTCGTGGGGTCGTTTGGTGCCCATCGTGACGATGTTCTTGGTGTTGGAATATGGAAACTCGCCTAGAGTCACTGGCAACTTTTTTTCTGGGGTGCAATTGCTTATCGCAGCGATACGCCGGTCTGTTATACTTAGCCTACTACATATAGCAAGTAGATGGTACAAAGAACTTTTGTACCCGGTTGGGCGTGTGAATTTAGAGTGTTTAGCCTGTATAGGGTTAGCGTCGCATCGACCTCCCTCACCCCAAGATCCGTCCAAGCTCATGAAGCTCGCAGCTTGAACCAGATTATGCAGAGCGTCATGAGCATCGGCGGTTCGACTACCCCCCCAATGGTAGTCAGATGAGAGCCTAACCACTGCGCAAAGGCTAAAGATCTTCAATTGCCCACCAGCAGAAGGCCCTCGTTGCTGCGTGCCTGTTCTGTGACCAGACCTTCTACACATGCTCTCAGCGCAGTGAGCCATGCGACTTATATGGTGACACCCAATGGACATCAGTCGCGTCACATGAACCAGTAGATATCGCTTCTGGGCAGATTAACTTGTTCTCTCTCATCTGCAACACTCGCGCACTTATTCTGGAGACGGCGCGGTCGCGCATTCGCATGCCATTGTGTCTGGGCCACTGCTGATCAATAAACCCGTATATATAACCACTCCATCTTGCCGCCATGGACCGCCCGGAGCCAGGTCTGGTCAAGTGGTCGGCCAACTCGTCTGTCGACAGTTTTGTCCACATAAACTTGCAGCACCGAGTCGTCCAGGTGTATGAGCCTACCGGGCACGCGCGAAAAGGGCGTTTCGAGTACAACAAGACCAGTCGCCATGATGACTTCCCCCCTCTCACCACCTACGATTGGTCTCCCACCAATACGGGTCTGCTGGCGGTTGGGACAAACACGGGAATGGTGAATCTGCTTCGGATTGACGACGACTCCAATGCGTTTGCGGAGCTGGGTCTCAAGATGACCAGGACATGTCAGGCTGTTGCTTTCAACACCACTGGCCTCCTGGCTGTTGGCTTGGATCGTGTTCGCATGGACCAGAGTCTACACGTTTGGGATGTTAATCGTCTATCAACCTTTGGCAAAATACAGAAGAAGGACCTCTTGCAGGATATTGGAGGGATCACAGAACCCAAGCATCGACTAGAGCCCAGTGTCTCGATTTCCAGCATCAAGTTCTTTGAAGACAGCCCCCAGACTTTAGTGGCAGGCATAAAGGCCCAAGGCCTCCGCATTCACGATCTTCGAGGTAATGTTGACATGCTTTTAGTAAAGCACTCCATCCTGTGGTGTGCGTGCCCTGCTTGATTTTTATACTAACCGATACGATTCTTTCAGATCCCAATAGCATTCTTTTGTTCCAAACTAGGTGCAATAACAATCTTGCTATTGATTATGCGGATCAAAACTACTTTGCATCGTCGGCACTGGATCAACCAGGTGTCATGATCTGGGACAGACGTGCCACCTCCCGTCCCGTCGCCTCTCCAGCGTACACGAAGGCGGTAGATGAGGACGAGCTTGCCTGGGGCGGGGCCTTGCGACTGGACAAGGTAATAGAAAGCGATTCCGACACGGAAGGCAAGCATTCCCTTATTCGCTCACTACGCTATTGTCGTGATCGTCGTGGTCTCCTCGCTGTTTTGTCACGAACCGGCCAACTCCGCGTCTTGGAGACGGATAGAGAAGCTGGTCCTCCAGGAACAGCACCTTCAGATGGCCCCGAGCTTCTCAGTGTTTGGAAATCGCATGAGATGGATCTGTCTTACAGGGAAGTCTCAAGGAGGAACAGCCGGATTGTATCATTTGATTGGGTCACATTACCGTCGCCCGCTTTCCGACCAAGGCTCCTCGTATTGAGGGCGAATGGCAGTTTTGAAATTCTGGAGAAGCCATCGAGCTCTGCAGACCACCTATTCAAGCTGATCCCCTGGCAATCCCCTCATAGAGGGTTGGAAGGTATGCGAATAAATTGACCGCTAGCTCCCCTGTTATTTGATTGCTTCTCTGGCTAACTCTTATGCTACGCAGAGGGGACGCCGTATCTCGATCTAATGCAATTTGAGCCAGCATATGCCCCAGATATGCTTGCATCTCTCACGACTGACATTGCACTCTCCGAAGTGCCTATCTTTGGACCTCAAAACCCCGATTCAGAATCCGACCCGAGGGTGATATCACGTCCAAACCTCACAACGCTACCAACGGTAGAATTAGTCAATCCCCTCAGCGCTTCGCTACCGGATTCATTCTATGAATCCTCCACCGTGGCTGGAAAGCTTCGCGCCCTGCGTAATTTTGTACGAGAGCAGGTGGAAAAGTCGGACGATGCGGACGCAGTCTCGACTCAGTTGGGCAATTTGAAACTTCTAAAAGATGGCGTAGAAGATATTCCACTCGCCTCCAACGGCTATGGGTCTTGCCGTGAGATTCACGAAGCGCTGCTCTCTACTCTCAAAGGCGCACAGGGTCTTTCAAGAGAGGCGCAGAGCGTCGTAGACCATGCCATGTTGCTACGCGCCAGAGAGAAATATCTATTTGATGCACAATTGAACCGATCAGTAGTGTCTGATGACCCTTGGACGGGTTTCGCCTGGAATTGGATTGCAGGTACGTCAACATAATTCGCTATGTGAATAATATGATTGGAGGACATATACTAACACTGGCTCTCGCAGACGCTGAACATGCAGCTGATGACAGCGGCATGATTCTATCAAATCTCGATTTGAGTTATCTGGGAATATACTCTATCTGGACCAACTACTTAGGTATGTTCCGCCACCGACTTGGATATTGAAACACGGCTGTTAATGTTCGCAGGTGAAAATCCATCAACACGACTAACACCTGGATCAACCGCCCCTGATGCTTCTCAGTGGGAACGGTTGATTGGTGCCTTTTGCAAGAAGAATTATCTTCCGAAATTCGAAGGCGTCAATACCAAAAAGCCTCATCATCGCCAACTATGTCTGCTCATGTGCGGATGGGGTGATGCACAAAGGCATGACCCAAGTGCTGAAGTAGACTCCGAATACCCAGTCTCGAGACATACAATGGCTGCAGCTCGCGCGCTCTTTCGCGGTGATATCAAGCAGGCTGTTGAGATTCTCAAAAAGGCGAGCGTTGCCCACCCAGAGCTGTTATTCGTCTCACTGGCCCTGCAGTTGATGGGGCGTGGAGGAAAGCAGCCTGCGAAAGAACAGTTGGACTTTGATCAAGCCGTGGCATCGAGGACCGATCCGTATTTGCAAGCCATGTCGTCGCTTATCGCGACAGGGAACTGGGCTGCCGTCGCCAACCATCATTCGCTTCCTCTGGCGGACCGCGCGTTCGTTGCAGTCCGCAACTTCAACGATGATCAACTCACGGCATGGCTGGAGGAACAGGTCCAGAGGGCTGTACGGGACGGTGACATCGAAGGTATTGTACTCACAGGCATCACCGATACCTTGGTGGACATCTTTGCGCGCTACGTCGAAAAGTTCCACGACGTGCAAACCGCTATTCTCATTCTCTCCATCTGCTACCCTCGATACATCGACGACATCCGCTGCCGGGCCTGGCGAAATGCGTATCGCTCGCACCTCCAGCGACACAAGTTCTTCTTCCAGCGGACCAAGTTCGAGGTCGAGTCCACCAAGCGCTCCAAGCGAGACGGGATTCCCACCCTGAAGCCTCCCAGCCGCCAGATCGCCCTGCGGTGCGTCTACTGCGATGCCCGGACCTCCCTGGCATCGCACCACGCCGGGCCGCCGCCGCCGCCGTCCACCGGCGAGGGCAGGAACACCCTCCTGGCCACCAGCGTCAACGCGGGCATCAGCTGCCCCAACTGCGGGCGGCACCTCCCCCGGTGCGTCGTCTGCCTCGAGGTCGTCGGCGTCCCTCGCTCAGACAGGCCGGAGGAGAAGGAGGAGACCAAGCTGGCCGGGCGGTTCCCCACGTTCTGCCTGCGGTGCGACCACGTCCAGCACCTGGATCACGCGAGGCAGTGGTTCGCGAGGCACGTCGAGTGTCCCGTGCCCGAGTGTCGGTGCCGGTGTAATTTCAAGGCGAACCCTGAGCTCAACTACCATTGATACAAGATAGATGTTGGTTCCTGAAATATAATGTGAGATCTTCACTTCGAGGAATGCGCCTCTCGTTCAAACTGCCGTGTTTCTTGTCTGTCCTTGGATAGATCAACACTGATCCGGCATCTGATGGACAGTTTAAATTTGTCAATGTACACATAGGTGCTTATGCATATATTGCTTCGCTTTCACAAGGTTTGGTCATCCAAAGAGTATGTATATATATAAATGCAGGGAACCCCCCAGAAGATGAAAATCATTGGAATGGAGAGGGGGCGAATAGTCATCTGCATGAAGAGGTATCTTCTTTATATTTCTGTCCTGTCCTGATTCATCCGTTCTCCCGTTGAAATCATCCCCCGACGCGCCCTCTCGTTTGACCGATTGACCTGTTTCCCACGCTTTGATGCGCCGCTCGTGATGGTTGTAAAGAAGAAAAAAAAATGTAAGGATAGTTAAAACAAAAATCATCTTGGCCAACTGACAATAAAATTAGGGTGAAAGATTGGCAAGGAAATAAGGTATATATATGTATAAAGGGGCGAAACAGTCCAAAGAAATCCCATGAAGCCTCGTCTACTCTCTCGTATCTTGCTGGTCTTTAATCGTTTCTCTTCATTTGTCTACTGCTACTCTTGCGCATGGTCTTAAAAAAGGCAGAAATGGGTATACGTTGTGTGTGTGAGAAAAAAAAATTTAACAAGTTGGATTTGAATTATGCTTGGAATTATTCTTGGTCGCCAACAGCAAGCCAGGGGTGTTCAATAACCTTGGTGATGTCGTAGCGCTGGCTCACATCGCGGTCAAGCATACACCGGATGAGGTCGATGCTCTCTTCGCTCATGATGAAGGGGATCCGCAGGTCGCGGTCCATGATCTCGTCGATGCTGTAGAAGGGGTTCTCCTTGTAGATGATGGTGTAGAGAAGGATACCTAGAGCCCATACGTCTTGCTCTTTACCACCATACGGCTTTCCAGCCAAGACTTCTGGGGCGGCGTAATCTGTTGGAGCCATAGTTAGTCATCTCGGATTGCTTCTTGAAGTCCAGGAAAACCACATCGCTAAAACCACTTACCAATTGTGCCCACAAAGACATCAAAGGGCCCGCTTTTGATATACGCTGCACTCCCAAAATCGATCAACTTGATATTTCCTTCACCATCAAGAACGACATTCTCATCCTTGATATCTCGATGAACCACTAAACCTATAGTGTGAAGGAAAGAGATGGCCTGGGCGACTTGGTTGAAGATGCTTCGGCATTCCGATTCGTCCATGTTGGTTCTCAGCTCGATATAATCGAACAGGTCCATGCCTGGAAGACCGTGAGGCGCCATCTCAATGTAGTAGTTGATGCTATCCTCGAAGAAGCCTTCCATCTCAACGATGTTGGGATGTCGGAACTCCGGCTTCCGGAGGTAGTCAAGCACATGAATCTCCAAGGGCACCGTGCCCAACTTCCTGTCTCTGGTCCATGTGTCGACCAGGATACGTCGCTTTGTGACGTATTTGAGAACCACCTTCTTCCCTGACGTCTTGTGCCGGGCGAGCTTGACTTGGCCATACGCGCCTTGTCCCATGTCTTCCAGGATAGCGTAGTCCTCAATGGTCTTCTTCTGTGGTGTTTCTGCGACCTTGGATGAAGACTTGTCAGCAGTCTTTGTGGTAGGAGAGGACATGATCTGACCGGTGATCTTGGCTGCAGCACTCAAAGCAACATCCTTGAATTGCTGTAGCGAAGACACCGGTGATGAGCGTGACGTTTCTTCCTTCCTGGTGCTGATATCATCGTCCGATGGAATCTCAGCAGGAGTGTGGGCAGGTGGTGTTTGGCCAGGGGAAGGTTGGTGGAGCGGCGAGGCAATGGCCGGCTCGGCCGCGAAGGAACCAAGGTTGAAGGCGGGCTGCTCAGCGTGGAGGTGACGAGAATACGTAATCCAGAGAGCGTACACCAATTCCGACTGAGCAACATTGAAGGTACCATCCTGCCTGGCGTGATCATCTTCGTCACTTCCCTCGATAACAGTCTCTTCGGCGACAGTAATCTGCTTCTCGCTCTTGACGACGCGCATCTGCACATCGACACGAAGATCAGACCCATCACGATGCTTCGCTGGAAGACCGGCCGGCTTCAGGAAGACTTCCGAAATGTCAGGTCGATGTTCTCTGATAGCCAGGAGGCCAGAGGCCCTCCGGAATCTATCCTCAGGGACTACCATCCCTTCCACAAGCTCGAGGTTCTCGCCATCGATGAGCATGTCCAGCAGGGTATCAAATCCAGGAACCAGCGCATTGATAGACATGCCATCCGGCTTCTCAAATCCAAAGAGGGCGCCGCAAAACACGGAGTTCGAGCTACGGATATGGAGCGTGCTAGGGTCCAGGACAATCATACCGGCAATGTGGGGGTAGGATGATACCCTTAATTCCAGTTTTCCGCGTGTTTGCTCAATGGTACAAGGTATGTTCACCTTGCGGGCATTCGGGCAAGTGAAGAACTTGCGGCGGCGAACCTGGGCAAAGTCGATCTCACCAGTATTTGGATCAATTCCTTGTCGCGGTATCCTTGGGATGAACGTGCACACATCGGTCACACCAGGCTTGACAGACTCAAGGCCCCAGATTGCCTTGCAATCACCAGAGACTTTGCTAACGATACCCTCCTCGTCGAGTGTAATGAAGGCCGTATCCTCGTGGATTTCCTCCAAGACCCAGATGAGTCCCACTCGTTTCTCCTTCACCCACAAGCTCGCCGAACCAGTTGCACCGTTCCGCTTCTGGATCGGCACAATGTCTCCGCAGAGTAACACGCCCCTCGAGCGAGCGCTACGGTGATTACCGCTACTTATTTTGGGCGGATTCGGGTCTCCGCTGTGCACAGTTTGGGCCCGTCTTTCAGGGTACCTGGGGCTCTGGCTCCTCGAGTTCGGTTTGCTGAGCAGCTGTGCTGTGATACCAGACCGTCCGCCGAGCAATGCTGAGGCAGCTGACGAGGCAGGCGTGGATGAATGGTTGTCGCTCTTCGCCTCTTCCAGTTCGTCGCCTTCTTTCCCGAGTAGTCTCCGCTCCAGCCACGATCGCCTTTCTTCTTGTACCACTTCCATGATGCCTGTCTTACGCACCTCGGCTTTTGTGACGCCGAAAACTAGACAAGCCAGGTCGTTTGCCGCAATGATTGTCCAGGGAGGTTTGGCCTCGGTAGTAAAAATCGCCTGGGCAGCAGGAACCCATCTATTCGTGTGACCATGGGCGGTAGGACCAAGGGCGCTGGGCAGAGTGGCTGAAAGAGGTGTTTGCTGTGCCGGGTTTGGAGAGGAGAGTGAGTCTTGGTAGAAGTAAGGCTGGGCCATGGTATCTATCAGTTTATCCTGCACTGACATGGAAAGCGTATCTGTCATGGTTCGCTTGAGAGTGATTGGGCGCAGGGCGGGAGGCGAACCAAAGTTCGGCGGTCTCCTGCTAGACACATCGGGGCTTGCCGTCACGAGTCTATTCACACTTCTCCCCGCTGCGTTTGCCTTTTGGGTGGTCGACTGTTGCGCAGGGGGAAACCTTGCTGGCGGAAGTGTCAATGATGTGGGGGATGACAATTCCAAGGGCTCCGGGCTTGCGCTTCGTGGGATGAGATGTCTCTCGAAGTAATCATCACCCGCGACATCAGGCGGTCCAGTCAAGGGAGGTGCAGAATCTGAAGGGTCCGGGTTCGGCAAGTTCCCAGCCCCGATCAGCTGTGCGCGAGCAAGAAGCTCAAGCATATTCTGGGCCTCGACATCACCACTCGCCCGAGCCTGTGCACTCGCAAGACCTGCCTGCGCGGGGTTCATGGGTAATCCCATGCGATCCTTCATGAACTCTAGAGACCGTTTCAGGACATTCTGGCGATTATGGATAAACTCCTCGGACTGATGCGCGAAAGAGAAGGAATGGAGGGATTCGGATGGAAATCGAGACAAGTCTTCGGAAAAGCTAGGTGACGCCGGTACGCTGGATAACGGGATGTTTCCGCTGCTGGAGAGCATGGCACTCAGCGAGGGAGTTCGCGAGAGGGCAACGACAGACGGGCTCCGGGAAGAGGCTGCTGAGCCTGGGAGAGTTGGTTTTCGGGACGGTGGCTGTTGTTGTCGGATTCGACGAAGGCCAGAGGCACCAAGGCCATGTTCATGGTCACCTATTATCGAGGCACTCCTATAGGTTTTGAGACAAAATGTGTAAGCTTAAAAAACAGGCCCAAGCGATCCCCGGAGAATGAATGTAACGAGTGTAGACACAGGGCAGCACTAATCGTGGCGACAGAACGGCGAAGGGTGCTAAGGGTGCAACAAACCTCGTGAGCGCGTCATGGTCGAGAAGGCCGGGCGATGTGGAGGCGTCAAAGGACATTCTGTAGCGACTTCGATCGGTCTGTTCGGCGATGTTTACCAGGTTTCCAGTGCTTCGATTCTTGGGGAGCGACAGAGGCTGGAGCATCTTTGCCCGCCCGCGATCTCCATCTGAGGTTCGACTATCGGCACCTACAAGCAAGCATCAGTACTTGTTGATCACCCTCGGTTTGGTCTTGGGCGCCTGAACGTCGAAGGTCGAGGGGGGTGGAGGGAACGTGGAGCCCACCATTTTCGTTCTTATGACCGCCGCCATGCGTCTGGTGCATAGTTGAAGGCGGCGACAAATGTGCTGCAAGGGTCCCAATCAGGTGTTTGTCGCTTTTTATTTCCGCGGGGTGGAGGGGTGCAGAGATATGCTCGGGAGCGTTGTGCGAACACACACAAGACGGGTTCACACAAGACAAAAGGTTCGGTCGCAGTGCGTGCGGGCGGCAGGGCGTCGACTATGGGGACAAGAGCGATCGTCCCTCGTTTGCAAAATGCAGAGAAACCACGTGCGCTGGGAGCAATGAGTGTTGGCGCAAGATGCGAGAGAGAGTACGGTCCAATCGCCGGATGGGTGCGTGCCAGCCTGCCAGCCTACCTGTTCCTGTCTTGTATCCAGAGAAGCTTGAGGGGTGGTTGATCTAGCAGCTGTGCAACAGCATCGACCGATGTCTCCTTTGCAGCCTGGCCAAAGAAGCTCCCTGTCACGGCGCAGTCACAGGCCAAATCCGTCTAGAACCGATTAATTAGATTAGGTATGGTATTAGTGAACCCTTCCCTTCCTCGGAGACAAGGACGAGGGGCTGGACGGGCTATTGGGTGTGCGCGGGGCAGTGCGAGGCGACAGGACAGAGTGCAGAGGTCAAATTCTATCGAGCGTTTCTTCCGTCTGTTGTTGGGGTGGATTCCAGGTTTCGTCCCGGGCGAGCCGACGAGGTTTTGTGTCAACGACAAGAGCCTACTAAAATGAAGTTTTTTTACTCGTCTACTCCTCTTTCAGCCTCCTTCTCTGTTCTTAATAGGTCGGTGAGGTCTTGCTGTGTTGGCGTCTCATAATTCCCACTGCATGTCAGGAACCGCCATTGGCTCCAGGCGGTGCTGCCACACTGAAGCCTGAGGAGTGTGGGAACCTCCCACCTTCCGGTGGAGTGAGTCAGTGGGTTCGCTCTGGTACAGAGAGTTTCACTAGCTGGGCCGACGTGCCATCCGCCCCCAAGACCTGGCCGAAGCCGCTGAAGCTGTCCCTACATACATTCAGATCAGCCTGTCTTATTAGTACCTACCTCTCTGGCTCAACAAAAAGAGCGTCAACTAACCACATCAGCTCGCCCAGAGGCTTACCTGGCCAGTCTAAAGGTCCATTCCTCTCTCAGCCGATATCCGCCTGCCGACAGAAGACTACACGGAGAACGCTACTGCCGCAAATGCCCGCGTTCAATTGGAGCTGGAGGAGAACCAAGACGCAGTAAGATGGCCTCACTGCCTCCTGGCATTGTGAGAATTAAACCACGTTATCTTGGCATAGCACCATGGGAGCTGCGAGAGCCACTCAGCGCGCGAGATCAAGACACGGTGCCCCCACATCACCTCAAACCTCCAGGGGAAAAGTACGAGATTCAACTCTCCTCGATAGAAGATGGCATAGCAAGATTTCCAATCGACCCAGCCAAGGTCATGTAAAACGCCTGAACGAATTGCGCGGGAAATCCCTCTCGGCCTCAATGATTTCTCTTGTATATGTGTATCTTCCCACATACGTTTGTTCACGACTTGTCGCTTGGATGAAGGCAAATGACTCGACATGTGATAGCTAATGTAACAATGTATCAGCCATCCAATATTGCGTCATCTAGCTGGGTCCTGTCTCCTTACTAGTGATGCTTTGACCATCACCTGCAAGAGCTCAATTTGCGACTATTATGCTCTTGCCTGTGCCAAATTGAAATCAGTCCGTGTGCAGGGTAGCCACAGTTTAGGCTCAAGCCAGCTATCTCGATATAAGATACGAACCAATGCATATCAGGAGCTTCCATACCTCCTTTATCAATCAGGAAGTGCTACAGGCGGTTTAGGTTCAGCCACTCCACGAATTTCTAGTATCTGCCCTTGTTGGCATTGCACTAGAAATGTAGGAATAATCTCCAACTAAAGCCACTTGTTGATGAATGGTCTCAACATAACAAGGCCGCCAACAGCTTGCCACTTGAATGACCACCTACCTATGGTCTTCCGCCGCAGGATCTGCATTGGCCCCTACCTAACTCACTACCCGATTACCTGCATACCAGTCAAAATATACCCATAAATATTGCATAGTACCGTGCCCTAAACTATACGAAAAGAGCACGTAAGGTCTTTGTCGTAGCAAAAAGCTTGACCCCTGTTTCCCATTCCTTTTCTGTACGTGCTACCAAACGTCTGACCCCAACACAACTTTGATTCCAGACTAGCGGCAGAAGAACCATAAATCTGCTTACCTTGGGATTATGAGAACCACGAGTCATGGACCTCTGCGAACCCCGGGGATGTCAGTGAGAGTCTAACTGGAGGAACTGGCCGGGCCGGATTTCGAAAATGGCGATTATTGCCGCAAAAGGAGCAGGTGCTCGGCTGGTAGGGGGTTATCGCTGCGCAGCCTGCTAGCACGCACGGATTGATTTCCCCTTCCCCCCAACAATCGTATCTCTAGCTGGACCAATGCGGCACCCAAGCCATATGGTGGGTGGTTTGGCATTTGTAGAAAACTGAAAATATCACCAGTATAACCATGCATCTAAGTAGGCAACAACTTCCCCTACTGCCGCTAGCTGCTACAGGCCACTATGCCATGTATATGTTGAAGAAAGCAAGAGATGTGGACACAGATTGAGTGAAGAGGCTGACTCGCTATGGTATCTCCTTGGCCTGGAGGTGGATGGGGTTTCTTCTACCCCCTCCTACTGTATGCTAACATGTCTTTCTTCAAGCAACATGGAACCTCAATCCTACCTACCCTGCCAGTATATACCTACTTTTAAGGGCAAATATGCTGGCTAGCAGTGCACTGAAACTACGTTAGCCTGCATTTCGAAAAAAAATGGCAATTATTCCCGTCAAAGAATGATGCGGCCTGACTGGGGAGAAGCCATAGTGTTGTTTGTTAGGTAGCCTTCATGACTCGGCTCGAGCCAAGCGATTTCCTCGCACACCTCCTCAAGACAATGAATGTGGACTGTGGTAACCATAGGCGCGCAAGAATCCTATGTAGGTCTGGCCTAGATGAAAGGTCCTAGTCAACGCCGGAGCCTCCCTATGCCAAGCACTCTAGTATGCTGATAGTCTGACAAGTTCAGGGTCCAGGCTAGGCCAAGCACGCGGCAAAGTTGGGGTAATGGTAGACCGAAAAAAGGGATATTCATTGCCATACTGGGTGGGAGAACCCTGGCTCTGCTCAGATACCCCGGACGGATTCTCTGTTTAGGTGGTATGTACACCCTTGGCTCTGATTCCTCCTGCCGCCTGCCGTTTGTTTTTTGCATCACAACACCGTCGTCCCCCTCTCCTTGGGAATAGAGCATCGCATCACTGCATGCGCCTCCCAACAGGTGGGTAGGACGAGCATCCGTCCATGGCATGTTCCTGCGTGGGCCAGACCGGCGGTCCAAGGGACTAATACCTTCCTGCTCTATCATGGTGGTGGGAGGTGCTTACACAACTATCACCAGTAGCCCCCCAATTACCCCTCGATTCTGGTCCATGTCCACGAGTACATGTCCCTCCCGGGCCTGAACCTGCAGATAAGTCGGTTGACTGGACTGGGTGTGGCAAGAATCCCCTCAGGTCCCCCCCCTCCCAAGCACAAGCGTACGCAGCCAGTCAGTTTGTGGATGCTAGGCCCAGCACTTAAGTTAGAGGGGTGGTCAGTCCGGCCAGTACACCGCACCACTGATGGATGGCCCCTTGTCGCGGGTCGCTACACTACATCGTATTTTAGCGACTCTGGCCCACTGCCTTGGCAGGTACGTATTGGCCTGCCCCAGCTAAGGCCGCAAAACCTGTCAGTACAGCACTGGCAAGGTAGAATCCCATGGTATAGCAGGTACATTCCGATACAGTACGTACAGTGAGCCAAAAGCGCTGGACTGGACGAGCCTTTTTTCGCCCGTCAGCCCCCCCCTCTACGGACCCCTAAAAAGTTCTCGTGTCCCATCATCTTTCTGACCTCGAGTCTGACCTCTAGCCTTCTCTCTTCCTCCCTCCTCCCATATCTCCCCTATCTTGCGTGCGCGCTCGTGTGATCAAGGCTTTGATTCCTGGTGGACAAATGTCTTATCATTAGCTGCTTCCCTTCCTTATCGCGACCAGCCTTGGGGTAACCCCGCTGAGCGTGCACAGTGACCCGTTCTGTCCTGCTGACTTGGGTCCTGGTCACCCCATGCCAGGGTCTTCTGATCACAACATCCGTCCAGCAGTTGGCGATTCTATTCACGCGACGACCGTCTTTTGGCTGCGATCACAAAAATAAATCTCACTCGTTCCCTCGCTTCCGGACAGAGGAGCCCGACCCGGCGGAGATTGATCTCTTTACCCGTTTTCCCTCTGGGCCTGTCGCTTTTTCCCGGGACTCTTTCGACTGATCCGAAACTCCCATCGCCAGTGCCCTGAGATCTCGACCCCACCGCTAGTTTGGCCCCACGTACTGCGTCTGCGACTCGTAACGTCCAACGTACCGGCCTGACTTGGTTGGCGACTCCATCCTGGGATTTTCAACTGGAGTTCTTTTCTTTTGCAAAGAAATTCTAGCAGGAGGTGCCAAAGCCACATGGTAGAGCCGTCTCTACTTCTCTGTCAAGGCTAGGAGACCTTTTCGCAGACTACAATGGCCGAGCCACAAGATCCTGCCGGCACTGTGGACGCCCCGGCAATGGTGGTGGTGGGCCAGGACAGTTCCATCACCACCCAGCCTGAAGCACCCGTCGCCACAAAGCCCAAAGGCCGGCACCGCCTCTTGCAGGGGATTCAGCGTATTTCCTCCTCGCCCTCTTTGACAGGTCTGCGACGGTCCAGATCCGTGAGCGCTCCGTACAGCTTGAGCACTAGAAGCAGCTTGTCCTGTGTTAGCTTGGCTGTGGCGGGGCCAGTGCGGACACCCCATAGTCAAGG